ACAATATGGATTGAGAATACTTTAAACCATTAATTATAATTATGTTTATTATTAACTATAATTGTTAACTCTCTATTTTGAGCCATTAACTGTAAATTATAGTTATTTGAGAGCTCAGACATAAAATTTTATATTAGCCATTTTCTGGTATTTTTTATTCAATTACTGCTATGGTTTCCTTCTTCCGGTATTTTTTTATTCATTACTGCTGAGAAAGCAATTTCCAAATTGTTTATGCAAATCAGTATACCTAAAGCAATAATTATTGATAATTTGGCTAGCAAAGCAATCTGGTATATATGCATAAGGTTATGATTCAGTTTTGAGAGAATGAAAGTATAAAACATGTATCATTAAAATACATACCTGAAATATATTAGCATGTATATAAAAATATATTAAAAAAAATTAAATGCCTTACACACCAGCAGAAATAAGTTAAAATACAACTGCTCATTGCAAGAGATGAATTTTAATAAAAATTCATGTTTGATATACCTTCACTTGTAAATTAAATTGCATTGATTATTACTATTATTACCTTTGTTTTTTAACTCCACTAAATATATCCATTAGAAAAGCAGATTTAACATACTCATGGAACGCTTTTAAATCACTTTCTTACAAGTTTATGTATTTATTTTTTTTTACATCCTCATGTGAAAAATCTGTAAACTAGCAGCTTTCTTGTTTAATATTACCACATTAATTAACAGAATTCTAATGATTTATTACAGTTTGTCTTTGAATTACAGTACAACTACATCATAGCTTTTATCTCACACTAATTTGCTATTCGTTTGCTTCTCGTACATTCAATGAGACTTGCTTAAAGGCATCATGTGTCTTTTTTTTTACTGTGAGTCATTTTAGGATTTTGATGCCATGGTTGTTCAAAGAGTTAAGTTTCTGTAATTTTCTGATGCTTTCTTCAGTAAAAGCAGATCGCTGTGTATGTGAAAAAAAGAACCAAGAAGAGTGCATGTCATGATGAAAAAAAAAATGAAATAAAAAATAGGCAGCACAGAATGCATTTTTGAACTAGACATAAGGATATCCAAACAAACATCTCTCTCCAAAGTCAGGAATCAATTTGGGACTTTTTCGAACACTGAATTGTAGTATTCTGTTTTCTACAAAATGTATATAATGTATTTTACAGAAATACACATTATGTAATATATGCAGAAGTACTCATTATTTTATAAACATTGTTGTTATTAGGAATGTTCGGAAATCTCTTATTAGAATTCTATTCAGGTACGTTAAACCCAATAGTAATAACCAAATGGCGAAAATAGGCTTAAGCACTAACCTGATTCAAGCCAACATAATCCTTAAAAAGTTAGTACGAATGCGTTTTAACACTATTTTGCATCTTATATTTCATTAATACACAAATTTTAATGCACATACATAAAACGGAAACAAACAAAAAATATACATACCTTGTAATTATCGAACACCACATCAACTATCCGTTAACGTATGCAAACAGCCGCCATTAAACTCAAAAACATGGAATCACGGAATGACCAGGCATGCGCTGAATGCTTTGCTTTGATTGGCTGCAATGTATTCCTTAAAAGTGGTGAAACATTACACTAACTTTGGTGGTTTCGCCAAGATGTAGTGTAATTGCAAAATCAAGTGACCCATGTTTTAGTACTATCTCTTGTATTGAACCATTAAATGGTATAACATTGAACTGAATTTTTTTACAGTTTTGGTAATCATAGGCAGAGATGATAATTTATTTGACCAATAGGTGTGCATGATGAAATATTTGGAGTCATGGGAAAATCATTGGTTTGACAACGATTTAAATTTTAGTTAAAATGTTTATTTCTCATTTTTATCAAATATTGTTATTTCAGATTCTATTGGTGAAATCTCTATGGCTTGTGATATTTTTATCGTATTTTTCGATTTCTTGTTTGATGGCCTTCTTTCTTTCTACCTCGTACTAGATTAGAAGCATTTTGCTACGCTAGGTTAAAGGCACTACGTTAGAGTCGCCGGTAAATACCTCACTATTTTAGAGGCATTTTTCTGCCCGGAATATCTAAAATTTTTCAAGTACTGACGTTCTGCAACTGCACGGGTTGCTCCGGCTCCGATGCCAGCAATACACTTCTTTTAATCTGTTGATATTTTTTGTCATGCTAATTTTCTAATCATGTACGTCTGACATGTCCTTCATGAAAGCTTAGTAGCCAAGCGAAAAGTTGTACAATGATCCACTGCTTGATCACTACAAATTTCAGGTAATAATATAAATTTTTGCTCCCGTAAACATTTATTTTTAAAGTCTGATCTTTTATTTTCTAAAGTATCCTTTGACTACAGACTCCATTTTAAACTCCATTTGAGATATATTTTCTATACACAAGTTAGGTCATAAGATTTTCTTCCTCCTTCTTAGCGAGCATTTGTGGTGTAGTGGTCAGCACACTCAGCGCGTAATTGAGAGGTCCGCGGTTCGATTTCCGGCGAAGGCGTTTTTTAATTTTTCATCTTGCCTTCTTCCAAAAATACCTAAAGTCTCTCCAAGGTAACCTACAGGAAAGTTGTACTATGTAATGTTAGGCTGATAATAATTTATTTTAAACTTTCTTCTGAATTATTTTACTTAGCAATTCAAGACGAGACAGTAAATCATTTGACCGCCTTAATGGGTCCAGCAGTTAGAATATGATGGATCCGTTCACCTGATTGGCAAGAGTTTAGGAACTAAACTATTGTGCAGACGTCTGCCGTGTTACAAAAGACCTGCACATAGAAAATCTGTGTATGTCCATAGAAATATGAAGACTTAACGAAATCATGCTACATCAGCGTTTGCGAAATAAATTCATTATAGCAGTGAGTGGTATTTTTTCCTTTTGTAACATTAGTTTTGATTTGCCATGTATCTGAAAAATAGCTCAAAATTAAACAGCTAGGCTGAACAGTTCGGTTGGTAGACGGGTGGACTATGTTCTCGACGAAGCGTTTACACGAACTAATAGATTTATCAGCAATAGTTCAGAGTTATCGTAGCGATTCAAGAGGTGGTTTCGAGAATTTTCAGTAATGAATATGAATTTCATTATCTATGTTTAAAATTATCGGGACGATTCGAGAGATAGTTTCGAGAATTTTCAATGATTCGCAGTGTACTGACTACTAAAACATTCTGGCAGATTCCGTTGGATGTCACGCTGAAATACTGTACCAGTTAAGGCCGTCATGCGAGATACTGATTATCCAAATACCACTGAAACTGCAAGCATATTCACTTTTTTATGAATTCTTCTATACTGGGCATCAGCAAAAATAGTTATTCCAAAGTTTTGCGGAAAAAATGTTTAACGATTTCTTAGGTTAGGATCTAACGATTCGAATGATCTCAGTATGTTGACCTTATGTTAATTGTGTGGAGAAACGAAATTACTTTCTAAGCAAAAGCTTAAACAAGTTAATAGCTTATTTTTAAATAAATCTTTCTAGAATAACAGTTTCTCTGTAGTGCGCGTTGACGTGTATCATTTAACCTTTTCTTTCTAAAAGACTATCGATGAGTTTAAAAAAAAAAAAAAAAGTTCAATTTTCTTTTAAATAATTATATGTAATTTACTCAAATAACATTTTTATGTAATTGTAAGCCAATGAATATGCTTCCGATTCATTTTACTTCTACTAAAATAAACAATAGTAATTAAAAACGCAGAGGTATAAAGGAAATCAGAAGAAAATATTAGGTTTCTCTACCTGAAGAAAAAACGCTCTGATGCCCAGTACAAGAAATACAAGTTTTAATTTTCTTGGGACTTAAGTTTTCTGAACACAAAACAGCAGTAGATGTAAGATTTATTTATTAATATTTATATGCAAACATGTTGATCACATATTCAGTAATTTACTTCAACAGTTTCTTTATATTCAAAACTTGTCTCATTATTTTCGAAACGTTATAAATTTGGACTTGCGGCTCTTGAACGCTCATAAAACCTATCATACAGCTCTCATCGATCCCTGGTATAGATGATGTTTATACCAAGTTTTCGAAGTTTGGCCATCCCTGGTATAGATGATGTCTTAGATGACAAACCATATCATTCTCCATGACAGTGCAAGCAATCATCAATCGTTTCTCATGATTACAATAAAAGGCGCAGGAATAACCGCAGTACTCTCCTGATATGAGTACGTGGGACTATGAAATCCGCGAAAATTGAAAGATGTGTGAGATTGTGAGGGATGTTTTACAACAGCAGAGAGTAGTTCATTCGTGCTTAAAAGGGAGGCCGCTTTGGTGTATCAACAGAAGTGAAACTGCTGATGGTGTAAGATGTTTAACCAGTTCTTTTAATAACTGAATATGGCAGGACTGTCGAAAGATAGAACCATAAGTGTCACAATCTGTAAATAACCAATGTGTAATAGTACTGAATGTTTAAACTCTCACTCAACGCGCGTTTTTTATTTGCCTTTCTCAGGTATTTATGACATGAAACTTTTCATTGCCGGTAATGCCTTCTGGACTATTTCAAACTATAGCTACTTCAGTAGTTCGGCATTTGTCAAGTAAAGCAATGATACTGAATGAGTTAACTAATTCTCTGCTAATTATTGTTTATTGGATCATTTTATCCCTATTTACATTCTATAAAGGTTAGTTTCATTAGCGTTAGATGATTGAAAAATACATATTATTTTTAATATACTTAAAATATTAATTTTGAAGAGCAATGTCTTTTTAAGAAATAAATTAAGCGCTTATGTAAAAGCGGTGGCAAAAGGAATTTGGATAGCTTTTGAAATTATATTTAAATTGCTTTTGTCGTTTCCAAGCGAACGATCCGTGACGCAAGTAGACAGGAAACTTCAGATTTAATAACCAAAGTTAAATTTAACAAAATAATGATAGTTATATTTGGAGGTCAAAGTGGTACGATATCGCCTACGATTACTCATTGATTAAACTTCCCGTTTAAGGAAACGCACCCTTTATAAAAGAAACTTTCGTTTCGTAGTAAACGCAGTGAGCTATAGTGAAACTGACTAGAGTTAAAAATGTGCACTGTAATCAGTGTTTGGTTCTTTTTGCTTCTGCCTTTCCTGGCAGTTGACGCTGCCTCGATAGCAGGTAATTATGACAATTTCTAGATTATGGCTGTATTTTTAGACTTACCATATATTACCTTCAGAAATGAACTAAAATTTTTAATCTATTGTGTAAGGCGTGCTGTATTCATATTTCTTTAAAACTGTATGATATCAGCAACCCTTTTTCTCTCTTTGACGTAAGGAATTTGACTTGCTGTTGTCAAAAAATCTATTTGGCATAAAGAATGAATAATATATTAAAATTTGCTCCTCGAAATAAATATTTTTATGACTAGCTTCAGTCAAGCAGTAATTGATAAAAATGAGATAGTACAGCACATCAATAAATAACGAATAGAAGTGTTTTATGAATTTTTATGAAGATAAGGCCGAATTTACAAAGCTAAAGGCTTGAAGCAAAATATCTGGAACTTACGTGTTATCGCAGCCCTCTAATTAGAAGTCCCCAAATTATCAGAATGGGCCGAAATCTGGCAACTGGTGCGCATGGACATTCGTCAGGCAACTATACTCATAAAAATGCTTCAGTAAAGAAACGTCACCTTTTTCGTGTGCGTTCATTTTGCTATATTCTAAGTTCCACCGGTTTTTTATACAAAAATCGTGATATTTTTTGCTTTAAACTCAGTTTTAGAATATATACTTGTAGAATCTGCCAGCAATGGAAGAAATTGCGGTAAAAGTTTTGTGGGAATTCATTATTTTGCCTCAAATTCCCTCAAGGAAACAGCCCACCAGCGGCCGAGCGGTAAAGTCGCTGAACACTGGTAGTTCGGTCTGAGGTTCGAATCCCGCAAACGGGCTGGCTGCACGGGCGTTTTCGTGGTTTTCCCCATGTGTGACGTGTATACGAGCCAGTCTACCTTAGAAAGTCCTCCACGAAGGCATTCCTCCCCTTAGGCAGATAGCCCTAGTGTGCTTTGCCATAATCTCAATAAACCAAACCAAACCAAACCCTAAAGGAAACAATGATCTGATGCGTTTGATACATAAACTGTTAGCAATGCCAAAGCTGCGAGCGATGACGGGTTTGTGAAGTTCTTTGATGTTTTTAAAGAAAAAACAGATCGCTGTGTACACTGGGTAAAGAACAGAGCAAAAAATTACAGAACAATAGTGTAAAAAATATAAGTATTTTATTATTTCTTTTTGTATCATACAATCCTTATATAATAATTATAATAATTAAAATTTGTATTTTAAGTTGCTAAAGCGTGTTTTCCTTTGATATGTTGATAATGTTTGCCGACTTAGGATAAATAAGGATAATTCGAAAATCTTCTTTAAATTATCTCTAAAACAACTAACTTGCACCCGATAAATAACTTTTATCTTTTCATCTGTAAAATATCGCCAAACTGCGTAAAAGTGGTTGCTATAATAAGTACCAAAAGGTCTTACACAAGATCTCTCTTTTTTACCATTGTTTTCGATATATAGTAATCCCGGACTTATATAATACTAGACTTACATAAGTTAGAAATTAAATAAGAGTGCGAAAATGTAGCCATTCAAACTAAAACTTGCCAATATAAATAAGGTATCCATAAACCATTCCTCCTTTCATCGACCCAGACATCTCGTATCGAGATAATATTCCCTCGGTCAGATTGATAACTTGCTATCAAGATTAGTGTTAATAATTTATTTACTCTTATAATGAATTCGATGCGCAAAATCGAATGATAATTCATTTATAAAAGAATACTGTGTAAATAATATATATGCACAGTAAATAATAATAATTGCAGGTTCTTGGTAAGCTACACTTCAGAAATTTCTATATATATATAATTAGAGTTATGTAGAGATATATGAAAGCATTACTTATGTAACTCGCAGGAAAAGTTTCTGTAGTAGGTATTACGATGCGTATTATATAAATCATTTCATGAAATAACTTAATAAATTATTATTTTCTCATTTACAGTTATTTAAGCAAAACGTACAGAGGCTGATGGCCCATTTTTAGACGATTTTTATTGTATTTACAGAAATATTTTACCTAAACTTTTGTGTGTTTTAAATGCTCCATTTGATAACACGTAATCTTCACCATCTTTCTACAACGTAATCAGCAAGACAATAAAGACTTTTTAGGATTAAAAGAGGTACTTTAACCCATTCTTCTTGAACAGCTTTCCAGAGTCCAAAGAGGGTTGTAGGTCGACGTTTGGATAATTCGTTTTTTATAAGTTCAAAAGTGCAAACATCTGTGAATGAGACATCAGGAGATTTAATAGAGGTATAAGTCAAGAGTATGGCCTTGATACACATTTTGTGTTCCATCTTTTTTCAGGAAATTAACAGTAAATTTTGACGTGCGGCTGCTTGCTTTCTCTTGATGCAGTTCTACTGACTGATGGCACTGCGAGTAAAGAGAAAGTATTACATATTTGAAAATTGGGTATAAAATATGTTTCTAACTTTGATGGTAATAAATGAATTTCTTTTCGTTGCGGTCATTTAAATATATCCAAGGTTCATCTATTTAAACAGCATTTCTTCATTTTTGTTCGAATAAGTGTTTCTCATAAAGAATACTGCAGCGCGTTCTGCTTTCGGCGTTATGTTGTGGAGGAAGACGATGGACATTATGTTTTTTCGCCTTTTTAAGATTATAATAATCAGCATAAATCACTTTATTTAGAATTGATACTGAGCATTTTAATGATTTTGCAAATGTCCTTTGACTTCGATAATTTTGTTTTGGCATTAAAGTTTTTACATTTGCAACATTCGAAACATTCCGTTTTTCCTTGATTATATATTTTGAACAATTTTTCTTCTTGAAGCCAAACGTTGACGTTTTCTTTCCTTTCTTATTGACAGTATTATCTATCGTTGCTTTAGGTACCGAAAAATCATGGATTTCAATAATTAGATACGAATAATTTTTTTCGGAAAGAGCACAAACATAGCCTTCCGCCCAAAGCTTCTTTAAAAGTGTCATTTTGCATAAAAATAAAACTGTCAAGCAGTAGATGATAATTTATACTTTCAAAAATATAACTGCAGTAAAAATATTTTCCAAACAGGCGATTTTTTTATAGCAAAGCGAATTCGTTTAAAAATGTAGGAAAGTCCTCTGTACATTAGTCATTCTCTATTTCTTGCTGTATTGTTTCTGTTTATTACATGCTGTGTAAAATTGGTTTGGTTATACATTTTAAACTAAAGTCTTTTTTTCGTAGGAAAAAAACTGAGATAAATGAATAAAAAACTAAAGAACCCTTAGTGTTGTCATTACAAATCATAATTAAGTAAATTAAAACTAAAATAATGCAATTAAAGTGTTTATCAGTTTAATAATAAAATAATGGTACTCTTCTGTTATCGTGACCAGATTCAAAAATGTATGTAGGCATACATGTATGATATATTGATATGTGTATGCATATATTGATGCTACCTATATACTACATGCATACACTATACGATATATGTATGCATATGTACGTACACATGTATATCTGTGTATGCATACACATATAACATACCCACACACGTGCATACATTTTTTTTTATCCTATGGCGGGCTCTAGTCGTTTATATACACTGGCCACTACTGCGGTGGTCTGTTTACTATGGAGCCATATAATCGGTTGGGCAACAGTTACCTCCTATGAAGAAACGGACTAATTACATCCATGCTTTCTCCAGTATTCGAACCCGGTCTTTTCGGCAGTCAGTGTTACTAACCGCAATCCTGGCAAAAGTATGTATGCATGCACATGGCCGGCACACTTGCATGCAAAATATACTTTCTGAATCCGATACCGATAACAGAAGAGTACCCAAATAATGACTACGCCTACTACAATTAAAGGAGCCTGGTATTCACGTAACATGATAAGCTTCAAGTGTAACGGCAAATAATGGCATAGATCGGCTGAGCAAATTACCGTTGGTTCAAATATTAAGATCTCTCTAAATGATATTAGTTATCAATGAGACTACAAAGTACTGGTTTAAAGCCTGATTTTTTGAATAAAAACATAAAAAACTGAAATAAAAAGTTTTAAATAGTCCTCTCTTTTATTTTTATGTTTTCTAAATTCAAAATTGGAAAAAAAGGTATTTATAATTTAACGTATTTTGAATAAGATAAAAGTATCTAGATGTTTGTCTTGAAAATAGAAATCCAAAGCGTACGCCTCACTTGCTTGTACATAAATAAGGCTATGAATATAGAACATTTGAGAAACTTTTAAAACAATGTAAATATGTTGTATTATATTTGAATCATTATTTGTTGCCTTGGTAAAAGTCTGACTTTCGATTCGGTACAAAGCCCAGAAATTGGCTCTTTATAAAAGGATATTATTGCAATCTGGGTAATGTGTTTTATAAAGGAGGATTTATACGAAATGTCAAAGGTGGATTATTAAGTCTATTAAAATATAAAATACATAAAAGATTTAAATTTAAGTTTTTAAAAAATTATACTGATCTGTCATGAAATTGGGAGAAGAACATGAATTTAAATTAGGCTTACTTAATTTTCAAATGTATACTCATTTCCAGTAAAAACTTTAATCTGGATACTTTTTAATCTGCTTCAGAAGCAAATATATTTTAGGACCTATGTTTGTCAACCTTCGAAATCGATAGAGTTTTATTCAAAATCTACGCCAAAGTAAGGCTGATATTTTGCCAAATTTTAAATAATTCTTTTATTTTACTTTGTATTTCGAGAAAATCTGTATTAATAGCGTACAAGGAAGAAATTTCTTAACGTTGAAAGAATTATCAATTTAAGAGTCTTTTCTTCCTTTTCAATTAAAAAGTTTTTTAATTCCGTGTGAATACAAAATTCAATGATATTCAGACACTTGAAGCGTTTAGATCTATTTATACATCGGCATTTTTAAGCGTTTAAATGATTAAATCAAAGGCAGAAAATAGATTCTAAAGCTTCAAAAGTTGTTTAACTTTTGAAAATAAGAAAATTCATAGTTTACAAAAACGAAGAATTTTCACGGTTTAATACATTAATTTAGCTTTAATACATTTTAT